TTTTTTGTTATAGTGGAGGAAAGTATAATAGAGGCAAACTCCGATTTCCTGAGGGTTTTCCTGGAGGGTATGGTTGACAAGGCTAAATACTTCATGTTAGAAGAAAAAGGCCTGGTATGGAGGGCACACTGTACTTTTTGGGAGAGGGGAGGTTGGCTGATTCACTTGTGGCCTTCTTTTTTAATTTGAATACGATTGTTTTCCAGTGCTGTTAGTTTCTGCTGTTTGATAAGTGAGTCAGCCGTAAGTAGACATGTATCCCCTCTCTCTCGGACCTCCCTCCCACTCCGCCCTCTCCCGCCCCTCGAAGGTCCTCGTAGAGAACCCAATTGAGCTTCCTGTGTTATATAGCAGCTTCCCTATCTATTGTACATGTGATAGTGTAAATATGAAAATGCTACTCTCTCAATTCAGACCCCCCTCCCCTTACCTGCTTGTCCACCTGTCCATTCTCTATATCTGTGTCTCTATTCCTGCTTTGGAATTAGGTTCCTTGGTACCATATTTTCTAGGTTTCATATATATGCATTAATATACAGTATTTGTTTTTCTCTTTCTGACTTACTTCACTCTATAGGACAGACTCTGGGTCCATCCATGTCTGTACAAATAACTCTTTCATTCCTTTTACTGGCTGAGTAATATTCCATTGCATACATGTCCCACATCTTTATCCATTCATCCATCATCCAACATTTAGGTTGTTTGCATGTCTTAACTGTTATTAACAGTCCTGCATTTGAACGCTGGGGAGTACATGTGTCCTTTTGAATTATAGTTTCCTCAGGGTATATCCCCACCTGTGCAGGTAGGATTGCTGAGTCATATGGTAGTTTTATTTTTAGTTTTCCTAGAGGGGATGCTTTCACAAGGCTAAAGACCTCATGTTAGGATAAAAAAAGCCTAAGCCATAGAGATGCTATACTATTTTGGGGGGCGAGGAGGTGGTGTGTAGATTGCAAAGTTACTTATAGCTTTTTAAAGAATCCTGACACCCCCAATGCTACCTTCCAAAGCACACTGTGTTTGGAAATAGTTGGTTGATACTCATTCCACTTCTCCAAACCCGCAGGGAGCCTCTTTGAAGGACTTGAAACCAAGGCATTGTAATGCTGAAATCATGACTTCAGCCTTCCCCTTTCAGCTGTGGTTAGTCTGAATGAGAGGTTGCAAGACTTCCTGACATGAATGGGGTGAGATCAATTATGACCTTCACTGTGGGGGTCTGTGGCCGACTGTCTGTGCTTTCCAAGCAAACGTATGGCTGTCCATGTATAATAACTATGTTTTTCAAGGTTTAGTATTTGATTCTCTGACATCTCGGGGTCTTGCTGACTTTCAAGGGACTGTCTTACCCAGGGATAGCTCATTCCTAGAGGTGCAAATGATTCACTTGTGAGCACGTCCTTCATAAGCAAACCAACAGATACAGAGCTTTACCCCCAAATATTCCTTTTATTAAACTCTTACTCTCCTGCCCTAACCTGGGGCCAGGTGCCAGACAATTAGTAACAGCCATTCTCTCCCAGAGTCCACTGAAATGAAGCAAACTCGTCCACTCTAAATCTTTTTACCTTGCCTCTCCAGTTCTTCCCAAGGAAACTGCAGTAAAGTCTCCTGCCCATGTCTCCCGACCCCTCTGCCTCCTGACAGACCCTGGTGCTTCCCCGTGTAGCTCTGGGCGAGGTGCCTCCTGTTTCTAGAGATCTGTGAGTGTAAACTTACTCCGTGTCTGAGTGTTTCCCTCTGTCTCACTAAAACAGGCCCCAGGTACCCTTTAAGCACCACAATGCCTAGGTTAACTCATAGCATGTTTTAAGGTTTGGATAGGGAATTCTCTGCTTCATAAACATGATGACCTTGAACCATTTGAGATGGTGTTTATCTTCGTTTGCAGCCCAGAGGAAGCTGATGAGCTTAGATATTCTTGAAGGACAGAGAAAGTAAAAATAAGTGTGTGTGTAATACACAAATATATATTTGTGTGTGTGTGTATATATATATATATAAAACTTTGGGCTTTTCAGGTGACACAATGGTAAAGAATCCGCCTGCCAATCCAGGAGACATAAGAGAACAGGTTTAATCCGTGGGTTGCAAAGATACCCTGGAGAATGGCAACTCACTCCAGTATTCTTGCCTGGGAAATCCCATGGACAGAGAAGCCTAGCAGGCTAAAGTCTATGGTGTTGCAAAGAGTCAGACACGACTAAGCGCATACTCACAATGATGATTTATAATTTGTGTATGTGTGTATTTCCCTCTATGTGTGTGTGTGTGTGTGTGTGTGTATACACATACATATATATAAATGGGCTTCCCTGGTAGCTCAGTTGGTAAAGAATCCACCTGCAATGCAGGAGACCCCAGTTCGATTCCTGGGTCAGAAAGATCCGCTGGAAAAGGGATAGGCTTCTGGATACCCACTGGATACTGGGTACTGGGTATCTGTGTACCCACTTCAGTATTCTTGGGCTTCCCTTGTGGCTCAGCTGGTGAAGAATCCGCCTGCAATTCGGGAGACCTGGGTATATAAATTCCTTATTAGCCTGAACAGATTTTTGACTTACTGAATGCTTCTTCAGTGAGAGCTGATTGCCAAATGTCTTGTCTCTAAGTCTCCTCATTCCATGACAGGGGAACTCGGGCATGTCAATTACCCACCTCACACCTGGACACGCTGATTTGGTGTTCTCTCTCTTTCCTTGCAGAGCTCAAAGTAGATCATGCACCATTTGTCTCAAATCAAACCCAGGAAATATAACGCCTCTTCTCTGCAGCCTAGTTCTTTATTTATGTTTATTCAGCCTAACTTTCAAATCCCCAGTATGAATGGCACACTCCAGTATGCTTTCTGTCCTCACAAACTCTTTTGTAATCTTACTTTCTTTTCTCCTTCTCTTCACCTGCTAGCTCTGCCTTCTCCTTGCCCTGATCGTTCATTCCCACTTCTTTTATTTAAGTGCAAATTAAAGAAAAGCAGCGACACAATAACAATAAAAATCCCTCTAAGGCTTCTTTTCTGTTCGATGTAGAAGATGGCTTTCAGGACTTAGATCTCTGATAAGGTAGAAGGTGTGCTTCTGCGCCCTGCGCAGAGATGTGAGTTATCAACTGTCCTCAAGATGTTTTTCTATGCATGATACCTCTCCAAAACTCAGAAAGTCTTACTCAGATTGTGTACATGCTGATTGATGTGACCCTAAAGCGCTCTCATCACACACTATAAATAACATGTCATCAGTTGAGTGGAAGGCAGTGTTTCCCCAGACTGACTAGTCCACCTCCATTCCTGTTCTTTAAATCCTACCAGCACCCAGGGTATAATCAAATTCCACCTCCTCCACCAAGAGTCCTTGGCTCCTTTGGAGTGTTATTGTTATTTATTCCTTTTGAACATAAAGGAAAAAGCCTAGTTATGCACCCAGATTTTCTTTAAATATACCATGCATCAGTCTTATTTCCATAATTAAGGTAAGTACCTGAAATACGAGGACTGAGTTGAATTTGGATGAGGGGCATGTGCAGAGTCCTGGTTTAGGTCAAATGCTGGATCTTCCATTTCCAGACTGTGTGATTGCAGACAAATGACTCTTAAGTCCGTTCTTTGGTCTGCAAAGTGAGGCTTCAGCAGCCTCAGCTGTGTCAGGGCGCTGCGGAAACTTAAAGAGGGAACAGATGAAAGGCTTATAGTGCTGCTGGGCACTTAGGTGGGATTCAATAGGCTTTTTTTCTCCCATGCCGCCTATACCAGGGCAGAGCACAGACTTGGCAGATGCCACTGGCTGCGGAGAGCATGCTGACTCTGAAGGCTGCTCCCTGCTTGTAATGGTTTACCTGATGCTAGTGAAGAAGGTGTCCTTTTCCCCTCTGCACTTCATGCAAAGTGGCTGTCCTTCTCCCCCAAAAGAAAGGCTGATAGTCCTTGGATAGAGGTTTGGAAGAAATTCACACTCCCCAATAAGATGCACCAGGCAAACTTTTTGACTATTAGATGGAGTATACAAAGATACAGTAATGAAAAAACGACAAGGTCGAGGTCTTAGTTTATCCCATTTCCTAAATGTAGTCTTCACCCCTCTTTCTATAAAAGCATCTCTTTTTCTCTTTCCTCATTCCGTTGCACCAAGAACCTTTCTTCCTGGGTTCTCAAGAAGAGATCCAGGATTTAAGGTCAACTTAGTTCAGCTTGTCTGCACCCCTTGTGTTGTCCGAGTTTTTGGCTTTTCCTTGGAGTCCTGGACTCTTCACCGTGCACCACCTCTGTCCCCTCCTCATTCTAAGCTACATGGCTACAGTGACCCTCTCCTGCCATACCCAGAGGTGGGGGCATTTAGAACCACCTGGAACTGTGTCCTGGGGTTGGTTTGTTGAGACCTCTTTAGTCTCTAGAATCCCAGCAGTTAATTCGGTGCTGCATTCTTCATGGTAGATTTTACATCAAGAAAGACAGAGTGGAAGGGGGAGAATAAGTTGGGAGATTGGGATTGATATATGCATACTCCGGTATACAAAATAGACTAGTCAGATCCTCCTGTATAGCACAGGGAACTCTGTTCCATACTCGGCAATGACCTATGTCGGAGTAGAATCTAAAAAAGAGTGGATGTATGTATATGTATAACTGATTCACTTTGCTATGCACCTGAAACTAACACAACATTGTAAATCCACTGTACACTAATAAAAAAATTTCTTTAAGCAAAAAAAAAAAAGAATGTTTATACGAGCTGGGAAAAAAAGAAAGCATGGTGTCAAGGGAGTGTGAAAACGATTCTATTGTATGGGAACCACATTGGTTAATATTTTACACTTGTTCTTTTCAGCCAACTCAGCTGTTGGAATTTAATTAGCAGTAATATATTATTGTCAAAGTAATTAAAACCTCGCCTTGATTAAAAACGGAGTGGTTTTAATTAACAGGAAGAGGTTGGGCTGGCCTTAACTTTCTCGGCGAGGAATACGCCGGCCTCAGTGGATTGGCTCTGTCTTCTCTGCAGGCTTGAAGGTCCGGGAGGTGTTCATCAACGTCAGCAGGCAGCAGGTGGAAGACTTCCACGGCCCCGAGGACTACTGGTGTCAGTGTGTGGCATGGAGCCACTTGGGGACCTCCAAGAGCAGAAAGGCCTCCGTGCGCATCGCCTGTGAGTATATTCACGGTGACCCTCTGTCCTGCAGGGATACAAACTAGCCTTTCATAGAGGGGCTCGGGACAGGCCAGGTGCTTCTATAGCAGGGAAATGAGGGGCCGGCGAGAAACCATCAGAATTCTCTCCACCTCGAATCAGTCCCCTCTTTTAAAATTGTGTTTTTAATGTTTGAGAATTCCCTCTGGAAGACAATCAGCGAGTGAGCTGGGCTAAGGTTCTGCCTAGGTTGTCAAAATGCAGGTGCCTTCACAATATCAGGAGAAATGGTCTCCCCCCCAAAAAAAGAAAAGGGAAAAAGTCACGCAAATGGATTCTGCTCTTCATCACCAGTGACACAGTTCAGGGGGCATTGATGGGAAATGTTGAGCAGTGACTGTTTACTTTGCCAGCAAATCTGCAAAAATAAGACATTAAAGATTAAGGGAGTTTTATAGCCTCCTGTTAAACCTCTTTCCTCTGAATCTTAAAACATGGAAATGGGTTTTAAAACTGCATTTGTTTGACCCAAGTAGGACTGACAAAAAGGCTCTTGAGGAAAAAAAAAAAAAGAAAGATTGCCTTTCAGAAGAGCCTAAGTTTTCTTCATCACGTTTAGCATCAGTGTTTTTATCATCTCAAACATGTTTAAACATACACAAACTTCCTCTCTCTTCCTTAAATGTCTTCATCCATTCCACCCCAGCGAGTCTGCATGAAATCTCCTGTGCCAAGGAGTATAAAAGCCTACCCCACAGCCCCTCAAAAGAGGAGGCCAGAAATGGTTACTCTTGTTGTTATTGTATTAATACCTTTTCGAATGCTGCTTTTGAGAGTGCCGTGAAGAATACAGGACAAGGGCCATTTATCTGAGGACTCAAGGAGTTCTTTGTAGCAAATGTGGATGGTTTGGGGATTGAGAATAAGAATAAATTGTGCATTGCAGAGACATTTCTGTTTCTGGGGAAATGAAATCTCCCTCTCAGCACAGGCCCATCACCTTCACTGTCCTCACACTTGGGGAAGCTCTTGGTTGCATGTTGACTGGGCCCTTGGAGGCCAAGGAGGAGGTCATCTTGTAAGCTGTGCTTTATGTAAGAGCTGTGGGAAACGTTTCCCCTGTACCTGTAGTTATTTAATTTTAGCCCACAAATAACTTTATGACTGGTCAGCTGAGAGAGGGAATATTTGATTTTATTCTTCCTTAAGATGTCCACCTCTGTGCTCCTAGCGTAGCCTTGGTCAGCCTCACCAAGGTGTTTGACCCTAGTCAGGGTGAAGCAGATTATCCTCTGGAGCTCAAAGAGAGGAGAAGCAAAACCACGTAGGGAACTTCAACACAAGTTCCCCCCATTTCCTTTGCATCTTCCATATCGCCTGTCCCCTTCTTTTTACTACTACCTCTTGAGCCCCACATGTATGATATCCTATATATAGCATCTCATGAATCTATCCATCTCCAAACTCTGTCACCTCCATACTTACTCATTCATTCCTGGCTATTACGTGCCTGCTGGAAACCTCTAGAGGTTTCCCCCTCCTTAGACAATTTGGCAGAGAATGACTCAAACCCATCTTTTGTTAACTTCCGCAACCTTTGATTGTATACACTGTACTCCGTCCTTCTAAACACATTGCCCTTCTGCGCATCACCCTCACTTCTCGGACATGTGCCTTTGCTCCGAGAGTTTCCCGTTTCAGGAATGTGTATCCTGGTGACTGAGAACTCAGATACTGGAGTCCTGTTGGTTTCCAGTTACTAAGTCCACTGCTTAGTGTTGTGATGGGGGCCAGTTGATTCTTTTCTCTGCAACTAATGTTATGATAAAAGGCTGCTGACTTCATAGGGTTATTATCAGAGTTAGAGATATTGACAACTATAGTGTCTAAAATCATACCTCACACAGAGTTAACTCTTATCAATCATCAGTTATTATGACATATTTGGTCCTACATATTTGTATCTCCAGCATCATTAGCCAGGAAGTGTGTTAATACTTAAACTAATTGAACTCAGTTACATTTCTAGTGCCTTCGTAATTTTTCTGTGGGTTATGGGTATGTAGACTCTAAAATTCCATTTGAGGCCAGCCCTAAGTACCCAATTCTCAAAAGTAGGATAGGATTAAAGAATGTTTTAAAAATGGAAAACACTTTTCTTTTCACTGCCTACTTTTTAGAGTCAGCAGATACTTTTTTGATGATAATCTTGCAAATCTCTTTAGGGATTAAAAATTCACTTGGTCATTCTTGTACAGGATATGCACACATGACTATAATAAAGATGTGATTTTTAAGTAAAAAAGAAAATCTTTAAAGCCCATGTTATGCACTTAGCTGAACATAATTAAACATACTTTGAATCTCTTCCTATGTAGCAAGTGACAGATTCTTTCATGTATTTAAAATTATTTATGCAAGTCAAGATGTGATTTATCATTAAATATTGCATTTGACTTGGGAACCAGTGTACATTAAAATGTAAATTGAAACTTAACTATGTTTAATAGTATCAAAAGTGGAGGGAAAAACTGCCTTTAGGACTTTGCTTAGAATTCTTTTGATTTACTTACAAAGGGTTAAACAAATAAAAAGACAGTTCTTGGTTTTTTTTATTACTTTCATGTTTTCTTGAAATAAGGAATTTCTGCATGCTATTTGCAAGCATTTCCCAGCAAACAACACATTGCACATGAGGATAGTTTTTATTCCCAATAAATGAAAAGCCAAATTGGATGTAATTATCACTATATTTCTTCTTTTTAAGATTGATTTTTGAAGGGCTAAAGGCCTCTTCATGTGCTAAATAAAGATTCTGATATATGAATGTATCTCATGAATCTGATGACAGTTGTCTTGAGGGGACTTTGCAAAATTAGGATCATTTTTGTATGATTGATTAAATTATTGTAGTTCAACATCAGAGCTTTTTATGCTTCCTGCATCTAACCAATGATCCATTAAACATTTAGCAGTTTCAAAACTGCAGTGGGCAAAACCTTCATGGCATCTGAGCCATTCAACTGAGAGATGGCTTGTCATGATCATGTTAGCTTATCTCTATAAAAACACCAGAAAGCTTGCTGGCATGCTATCACTTAGAGATCATCTGATTCTCAAGGGAAAAAAATATTGACACTATTATTTTATTCAAGTCACTCATATTTTCATTGAAATGGTCCCACCTGGGGAATCAGTTAACTACGCAGATTCCTGGCTTCTACCCCAGACTTGAGAACGCACCAGGGAAGCTGTGTTTGTATGAGGTTATCTAAGTGAGTCTATGGTTATATAACCTTGGGACAGCGTACCCAGGAACAGGGCTTCTCAAACTTTTAACATGCATGCAAGTCAGCTGAATTCCTATTAAAATGTAGATGATTCAGTTAAGAGGAGTCAGTATGTCCAGTCCAAGGTCTGAGATTCTGCCATTTCTAAGTTCCCAGATCATGCCAATGTTGCCAGTTGGTCTGTGGACCCTACTTTAAAGTGGGAAGACCCTGAAACCTAGAACACCTTAGGAAGCAGTGTTTAGGAAGTAGTTGGCACTTAATAGCTGAGAAAATGACATTCAGAAAAAGGTTAGATGGCTTGACCACAGGTCTCCCAGCAAATAGATGGAAGGCATGGAACCAGATCTTAAATACATCCGTTCATCCTTCTGTTCTTGCTACTAAGCCCTGTTGATTGCATTCTTCTGTCAAATGGGAATTCGAGAACCATCATAGAAACACAAGTTCATGTGCATCTGAGTGTTTCCTTGAGGAAAACAATGATTGCTTTCTTATTCTGTTTCTGAATAAATTGAGTTCTTTCATTTAGTCAAATTGTATACACACACACACACACAATACGTATATGTGAATATATATATGCACATGGGTTTCCCTGTGGGCCCAGTGGTAAAGAATCTGCCTCTAATGCAGGAGACTCAGGTTCTACCCCAAGGTCAGGAAGATCCTCTGGATAAGGGAATGACAACCCACTCCAGTATTTTTGCTTGGGAAATCCTGTGGTCAGAGGAGCCTGGCAGCCTACAATCCATGGGGTCATGAAGAGTCCAACATGACTGAGCAGTTTAACAACAATATATGCACACGTGTAATACATATGTGACTTCCCTGGCGGCTCAGATGGCAAAGAATCTGCCTACAGTGCAAGAGGCCCAGGTTTGATCCCTGGATCAGGAAGATCCCCTGGTGAAGGGAATGGCAACCCATGCCAGTATTCTTGCCTAGAGAATTCCATGGACAGAGGAACCTGGTAGGCTACAGTCCATGGGGTCTCGAAGAGTCAGACACAACTGAACAACTAACACACAGAATACATATATATAATATATATATATTTATACTTATGTTATTATATATAAATGCATTATATATACATTTATATATACATTTACATTTATATATACATTTATACATTTACATAAAATCATGAGCTATTCCTTAGTGGCCAAAAAGATTGGTACAGATTTGTTTTAGTAGCTGAAGTGCCCGTCGTCTTAAACCATTGCGTTTTCCTTCATCATCCCGCCCCATGTCAGAGAGATGCTGGCTGCCCATCCAGCTGCCTGGGGCTGGAAGTAACTGAAGCTCCATTTCAAAGTGATTTTCTAGAGGTAAATAAATAAACACAGCCCAGCCACATTCCCCCCACAAAGTTGGCAGAAGTCCATCTCCAGGGAGCATCTCCCACGGGCCTCCTCTTGTTTGTCTGACTCAGTCGAGCTGGAGGTAGTCGGACCGTGGTGGCATCTGTTACTTCTGCTGCTGGACGGTTGTCAAAACAAGAAATATTCAGTTATTCGTAGTTGTTTATTTTCATGGGTGAACATTTGGCTGCTTAGCCATTGCTCTTCCTTCCCGTTTTCCTTCCTCTTCTTCATCTGCTTACAACATGTTTGTCCTCTGTCATTAACCCTTTGGTCAGGCAAACTCTTCTTGACACCCAAACTACTACTGCTGTATGGGAATTGGGGGTTGAGAGAAACATTGGCCTGTTACAGTCACATA